TCTCTTTCACAGATATAAACATTATTTTGAAAGGAAGAGAAACAAAGGAAAAATAATACGTTTGCAAAAATCTTTGAAAACGTTTATGATTATAGCAATGAAAAAACCCCCAATATTCTATAAGGTTATATTATAGATGAAGCACATAAATGAAGCGTTTACTCTGGATCATTAAAGTCAACACTATGAATGGTTGAAAGCATAAATCATTGAATGACTTGTTAGTTACTGTAAAAATTTCTGAATTGTTCATTGGTTTAATACACTATCCAAAGTTCCAGATTTTTCTTTCTTTCTTTCTTTCTTTCTTTCTTTCTTTCTTTCTTTCTTTCTTTCTTTTCTCTTTCTTTCTTTTCTTCTCATTCCTCCTTTCTTTTCTTTTTTGTCTACTATTTACATTTTGGTTATTTCTTGTTTTTTACCTTTTAAAAAATATTTTATGTATTATTTTCATTTTATGTGTATGAGTGTATTGCCTGCATGTATGTAAGTGAACCTGTGTCATGCAATGCTCACAGAGGTCAGAAGAGGGCATTTTTTGCTGAGCAATAAGACCCTGGCTTCAATTTTTAAGCACCCCACTGCAATGACAGGAAGAAAGGAAAGAAGGAAAAAGGAAGAAAATAAAACTAAAAAGAGGAAAAGAGGAAAAAGAATCCAATGCCCTAAACTGACCATTTTATAAAAGTCTTTATCCAAATTCAATCCCACAATAGTTCTTTCAGAAGTATCTTTTGATAATATTCTTGTATCTCAACAAAAAGCAATTTCATTTTTCCAATTGCAAGGCAAAAACCTGGACTTATCTTGACCCCTGAGTCACCACAGTCTGCCCCTGGTGTGGCAGTCCCACTGGCTTTCCTGTGAGATCATATGTGGAAGATGACCACTTCTCATCAGGCCTCTGCCGTTGCCTGGCTCAAGACCCCTTGGCTTTTTCTTAGATGACTTCAAGAGCCTTTGTACTGCACCCTCCGCTCTGTCCTGATTTCAGTCACTCCTTCAATATTGACTCTGTTCAAAACTTCCAGCATCTTTCTTGCCTTTTTTAATTAAATTAAATTAATTTATTTATTGTTACGTTTTTTAGTTAGTGGTGCTGAGATTGAAATCAAGGCCTTATGTATACTAAGCAAGTGCCCTACCACCATGCGCACACCCAGCCCTCCAGCGGCTTGCTTTATCACTTCCGGCAAAGTATGATAATTGGCCAGTCTCTTATCACGTGACCTCTAATTTCTTCCTGGCTTCCTTTGCTGCTGTTCCTCTTCATCAGTTGCTCTAGTCAAATTGGCTCCTTTCATTCTGGAAAAAGTCTGCAGGACTTACTTTGGGAGCTGGTTCTTCCTAGGCCTTCCATCTAGAATGTTCTTCCTGTGCAAAATCATGTGTCTATAATTCTGTCTTAATATGGTCATGCTGCTGTAATAGAATCCCACAGATTTGGTAATCTATCAACAGCAGAGGTTGACTTCTCCCTGTTGTGACTTATTTGGCTTTGGAGGCTGGGAGGTCTAAGATAAAGGTACTAGGAGGTTCACTGTCCGGTGGAAGATGCCCAGCTCTGCTTCCAAGATGGTGCCTTGTTACTTCATCCTCCAGAGATGGCAGAATCATGGACTGACAGAAAAGGTCAAGATACTTTCTTCAGTTCTTTTATGAAGTTGGTAATCTCACTCATGAGGGTTCTGATCTGATGACTTAGTCACTTCTTAAAAGGCTCTGACTCAATACTGTCGCAGGGGGTACAAGTTCTAAAATATGAACTTTGGAGGAATATATACTTTTAAACCCAGTTTTTAGTCAAAAGTTTTATCTTCCCAATGAGGCCTTCCCATGATTCCCTAGTTAAAATTCCAGCCCAGTGTCCCTAGTCCCAGTGCTTGTGATCGCTCCTTGAACTTTGTCCATGTCTCTATCTAATACAATATAGTCTCCTTACTCCTCTAGACTATGGTGAGCCACATGAAGACATGGGTTATTTTCTGCTTCATTCACTGCAGCTTCACCAATGCCTGCCACATAGTAGGCACTGAAAACATTGCCTTTAAATGTTATTGAATCTTATTCAGACACCATTGAGAGTATAAGCTTTCTAAATAAAATGACAGAAAAATACTTTTCACTTATAAATTTGTTAGCTTACAAATATTTTCTCCTTATAAATATGTTAGCTGTCCACTCAGTCCTGATTAATAGTTCTGAAATCAATTCTAATTATCTGGCAACATAATGCCTAAACTGAGATATTTATAATTTTTCTGTTTATCCTACTTTCTGGAACATTTGATAGCATCTTTCTACCACAAAAATATTTTTAGATTAAAATTACCTTGCCCCCTGTGGTCATCTGTGGGCACTTGTGACAAATTCTTTGCTGGTGCTAAGTGGGCTGTGCTGATTGGACAATGGGAACTCTAACAAACTTTAAATTTCAGCAAAATGCCCAGAGACTGCCAAATCAGAAGAAACCAGGTTTCCGGAAGGTAAATGATGCCAGGTAATTTGGCTTTTCTAGTTCATCATAGAATATTACTTTATATTACAGATGATTGCTTAAATTTTCAATATTCTTACCACCCTGGTTTGGTTATTACAATTGAAAATAAATACAAATTGAAAATATTCTCAACTGAGCTCAACTATACAGTATGAGTACTTTGTTTATAAAGTAGGTAATGTATTATCACACTCTGGAACAACTAAACTTGATGGCTTGGTAGGAAATTTGCCTTTGATTTGTCTATTAGTAGTATTGAGATCCACAATAACTAAAAAAAACCCGTAATTTTACTCTGCCATTTCATAAGTCAGGCTTCATTATTTTATAAACCAGAAACAGGAGATGCTGATTATGTCTCTGTTTTCAAACACTGGATATGTTCATATCTCTAGCAGTATTGTTATTTAATAAATGATTTATATTACTCTTATCTATAACACTTAAAAAACAAAAAATTATAGCTTGAATTAAGATTTTTGAAATTGTATTAAATTAGAAGAAAATAACCTAGAATTTTGTAATATATAACTTAATAGTTTTATTTCTTCAAGTAAGATTTTTTATTATAAAATGTTAAAATATTGTGAGAATATTTAAATTGCTTTATCT